AAACTACAAAMACACAACAATCAACAAAAAGTATTTAAAATGACAATAACAGCAAGTAAAAAGGAATTCTTAAATCTGTTGGTTCTACATCTTTTTAAAGCAAATCTGCGTCCTGATGGTAAAAGAGAAAACTCTTGTGTTTTATCAGAATTCACATAAACCAACTATTAAATGACCTCCTAAACCTTAAATTCACAAACTTCTTACACAGACATGGAATATTGGATCATTGAATGCATTCAGGTGTGATACAGCAGGACCATTTCTTTTCTARTCCAGTTTCTGGACACCTGATGATGTTTTAAATAGCTCATCTGAGCCCACCCTTGGTCACATATTTTAGTTCTAATGAGTGGGAGAAATCCTCCAAGCTAAGRTTCATGTAAAAAGCAACAATAACAACCAGAAAAAGACCTCATGTTCACAGCTGTAAGTAGCTCAGTGGGATTAATCAGCATTCAAGTTACTTTAAGACATTTTTTCCTGTACTGAAACATACAGGAAACACTGCAAGTAAAACAGAATGTTCAATGTAAATAGCCCACTAAAATGTGCTTGGGGGTTGAAAAACCCGTCACTGATATGAACTAGAGCGCTYGCAGTTTTTGATAAATGGACACAAACCGGCAGCACAGCCACCGTGGACCTTTAATTAGGCTGCCGGTGATTTTCAGTCCATTTTTCGGGGCCTTCCACATCGTTACCCAACCTTTTCTTTAACTCTGCCAACTTTGTAGATGCATGAAGGATGGTGCGACACAGTGCATTATTTCTGTGTGTGTATGTGTGTGTATGAACCTCTAGGTTGTGGCTTGTTAGATTCAGCTAACGCCGAGCCAGGTCTGCTGCCAGAAGATCCTGTCAGTAGGCTGTTTAGCGCCACTTCAAGGTTGTTATTATTATCCATCAGAGCTTGTCGAGCAGCCTCCCTGTTAAAGCCCATCTCCATGATGTCTCTCAGAGCACGTTCATCCACCTAGCAGCCAAAGGAAAGGGAAGAAAACAAACAAACTGCACATTTTACACAGGCAATGTGCAATACTTGTGGAATGGTCTGGAAGATGACCTTAAAAATGCCAGATCTATGTATATATTTAAGAAACAGATAAAAGCTAGTTTGTTGAAGGTATATGGAAAAGTAAAATATGAAGCTATATGAACTGTTGTTTGAGTTGATGTTTTTATTTTTATTCAGTTATGTTTTGTTTGAATATATTCTGGGTGATAAAAGGGGCAGATATTTTAAGATTTATTCTTCTGCTACCTTTCATTTTATTTTGATTTGTTTATTTCCTTTGTTTTTTTTATTGTATATAGTTATTTTTTAATGAAACGAATAACATTGTTGAACTGAACTGAAAATTTTGAAAGGTACTGGAGAAAAGAAGTTTCACTTGCAAATAATGGATTTGATAATAAGGTAATTCTAGAAACATGTCAAGACTCAGAGCAAACCAGAAAGGTGCGGTGGATGAATAGCGAGAAAAGAAAAACAACACAAGACACACCCGTTTAGTCTTTTTCCCTGTGATATAAGGTTTTAAACCATCTTTAACACCTTCCTAAGCTAATCCCAGTGACATCCAGCTCCCTTCTATTTACATGTTAAGTGCCAAGCGGGGTAATTTCAACTAGAAACTGCCAGGGCACAACACGGACAGAGACAAACTGACTGCCACTTGAGTGGAAAATTTGACCAGGCCTCCAGTTCATTTCCACTCCTTCAATATTACAATCAATGCCCCACCAAGTCTCTGAACCATGAAATAGGACTTGGGTTTAAACCAGAGATTCTTAACCAATTGGGCTGCGAGCGCCACCTTGAGGGCCTCAAAAGAACAACAGTTTTTAACTGTGGGCCGCAGAGGGCCGTGGGACTGCATTGATTTTGAATAAGGTACAATACACTTTCTCACCACTAGTAGCAGTAGTGCACCACTCAGTTGTTTAACAACTTTTTTAATATGTAGAAGAAGAACCTTAGAAACCTGCTGAGAATGGAAACCTATTTTAAAGGAAAAGTAGAAGCAAAAATGAAAGTAACTCATCAAAAAACACCAGAGTTTGTCACTAATATGAAGTGCAGCTTCTGGTTTTACCATGCGATATTTTAAAAGTTCGAAACATTATCAAATACAGTTGCAGAAAGAAATTTTAAACTTGTCAAAAATCTGTTGTTACTGTTGTTTGTCACTAATACGAAGAGCAGCTTCTGGTTGCAAAAGTTTAAAAATGCTATGTTTTCATTTGTACTTTATCAAATTTATTTTTAGTTTTTTTATTTGAAACATTTATATTAAACATTTTTAATTTATTTATTTTATGCCCACAATTTTATTTTATGAATTGTCTATTTTTGTTATTGTTTATGTTAAAAATATATATTTATTGTTATGCGCAGGTTACAATATAAAATTGTTTGTCATAATCATGTCTTGTGATTATTTGACAGGAGTTTTACTTTTAAACTGTAAGTGTATTTAATTTAGTTATGTTAGTTATGATAGTTT